TTTTATTCTATCTATTGTAGATAGTCCTGCCTCTCTATGTATCTGTATACAAACACTCTCTTTTCCCCGTAAGATGCTCCAGCCCAAAGAAGATGCGTTTTGTCGTCATAACTCAGGCCCATTGTTCCGTATATTCCTTGTCGACGCGTCAGTATCCATGACAGGAAGTGGCCATTTTTGTCAAGCATATGTACTGTGTGGGTGTCTATATCACACACCAGGATGTGTAACAGAGCGTCTGTACTGATTCCATTTGGAAAAAATCGTGATCCTGATGGAGAACCTGTGTAGGAGAAGCGGTGTCTTCCTCCATAATCTGTCACAACTACAGAACCATGATTATTACCATCAATATTAGACACAATAACATCTCCATTTCGGTTCTCTGTGATATAGATTGGATCGGAATACAGCTCCTGGCCTGCGTTTCCATGCTGTATTGTCTGTTTGTGTTGTCCTCTGTCATTATAACGTGCTATAATGCCTGTTTCCCAGGACCACTTCCCGACCAGCAAATCGCCGTTGAGGTGAGAGGAGTAGACAGACTGTGGTTTCCTTTGTTCAGTTTTCTTTATCAGTGTGGAATTCGTTCTGTTATCTTTAGAAAGTTTGATAATGTTATCATCCCTGTCTATGTAAATAAGATCACCAGTAAGATTCACTGTGTGTTGTCCCCACTCGCTAATAACATCTGTCAGATGATGTAGTATGTTACTCTCTGAGTTTATCAAGATTAGATTTTTGCCATTACTGATCCAGGCCTGGTCTGGTGTCACACCGGAAATATGATATATTTCACCTGGCACTTTGACAGACCTGTGTACATCCGGTGTAGGCATCAGTTTCAGTAGACATTCATTGCTTAATTGCCTTTTTCCAGTCTCTGTGATTTGGATTTCACTCAGTAAATCAGTCACATCCTCTATGTTTATTTCGTCAATCAGGCAGACAAGGGCGTATTGTGTGAGACTAGGAGTGTCCATTAACATGTGTATACGAGTTCTCTTTAGGAATACGAGGAATTCTAGCGGTCTGTTTGCCAAATGGTCAGATCTGTGTTCAAAGTTTTCTATGCTGGCAAGATGTCTCCTCTGTTGATGTAAACTTTGCACAAATCTTTTGCGTCTGATTTTGACATCACACATGGCAGTGTCTATGAGGTTCCTTAGTTTCTGGGCTTCTATTAACATCTTCGACTGACGGTTGGATATTTCTGTTTGACAAGTTTTTATATCACTTTTGATTCCTGCCAGAACAAAACTGCTGTTAAAGAGAGTCTCACTTCTGATGTTGTGAACGATTTCTCTGTATTGTTGCCGGTTTGATATATAAGCTGTTCTTGCGTCCTGCATTTCATGATTTCTGTGTTCTTTACATTTGACACAAACAGGAAGTTTACAAGTGTGACAGAACATCTCATAACTTATGTCTGGATGTTTCATACAGGTCTCTTGTTTTGTTTTGTGGTAATATTTCTCACGGTAAATCACAACATCGTGGTGTATGGTATCGAGATCAATGACATGTTTCTCTTTACATTGTAGACATATGTCATGTTTACACGTGTTACAGTAGTATTCTGTGTCACCCTGACACTTGAAACACTGTCGGACTTTACACGGGGTGCCGAATCTTGAACCCATGAACTTGAAGACAAAGTCTCTTGTTTTGAGATGTAGTTAAGTTATATGTTTCAAAGTAAATCACAACATCATGGGATTTATTATGTAGATCAATAACATTTCTTTTCTTACACTGTAGACACAGGTCATGTTTACACGTGTTGAAGTAGAATTCAGTGTCAGTTGACACTGGAAACACTGACGTATTTACACGGGGTGTTGTATCCTAGCCTGTCCATGATTTACAGGATTTAGTTGTTATGTTCACAATCTGCTGTAACTAATTATATAAATCAAATTACAGTGTATCAAACGCACATAATCAGGTTAGAAAGCATGTTTGTAGAAGTTTAAAAAGAAAAATATTAAATTTTAAAGTAAGGACAGAAGAAGATACATTCCCCAATTAAAATATAACTTTCTTCAGGATTTGTCGTTGAAGTGTTGTTACTTTAATATGTTTACTCACAAAAAATGAAGGTACTTAACCAAGCATTTGTGCAAGAAGGCAAACGTAGAGTTTCATACATAAGACTTATGGGAAAAAATTAATCTTACAAAACCAATTTTTTTTGCTTAAAGATTTTTTAAATGATCATTAACTGGCTTAAAAATATTTGAAACAGAAATTTGATGAGCGTATCGTCTAACCTATATAAAACTTCATTTGCGCACAATCTTCAAAGAAAATAATGTAATCTAGGCTGTGTGTTTATTATATTCATAAACGTCACTTTCAATTTGCAAAATTTTATTTATTGAATTTGTATGAGGGTAACAAGTTTTGAAGAGCAACAGTTTGGTTCAAATGTTCATCAAGCACATTCTGACCGAGATCTCATTTAATAATTAAATAATATTGTTATTATATCTTTTACTATTTATTATGACGCATCTTCTGAGGGTGTAGATATTTGCAATGAATAAGTCTAAATTTTGATGTTTTTGAAACTGTTTAATAACTTGTTGATTGATTGTACGTTGTTGCACGTCACATGCATAAACATTTCACTTATATAGAGATGGCACCGTGAAGGGATTCAAATTTAGACCTAAAGTCGGCACTCGTGGCCATTTAGCAGTGAGGGTTCTATATCGTGCCAACGCCTACAGTGGTTGGGGACTTCTCATCCAAAAGACCATGACTTTCACTTTTAGTGCCGTACGCTTAGCGAGGGAACCGTCACCACCTTTACGTCTGTTTCATACTTAAACATTTGACTTGAAAAAGACGTTAATGGTCATCTATGATTTACGTGATGACTTTAACTTTTCCATCGACAACAATTACTCTTTATACCAACTTAACATAGGCTTTGGAAGCATTTCAAAGGGGGCCTATTTGAAAGTGGGCTGGGGGGGGGTAACCAACTTAAAACGTAAACCTCAATTTTCAATGCCTATATTAAATATATATTTGCAAAAAAAGTTTGGGGGCTAAGCTTCCCCCCCGGTAAATTTTGTATGTGTTATTGGTTTGTGAATCACACAGACTTGTCACGTAGGCATATTTCCTGAAGCGCTTTATGAAAAATATGCCTAAGGGCAAGTCTGTGTGATTCATACACCAATAATTCACACAAAACTTCAAAACATTCCTCATATTTACATTTTACATGTTTGGAAGCACCAAAAATGTATTCAATATTTGTACTTCTCGCTGCGCTATATTCTTATACTTTTACTTACGTCAGTGTAGCCTTATTGTGACGTCACGTTAACGCACGTTTCTCTGTGTATATTTCTACGCATGTGTATACATGAAAATGGTTTTCAAATCAATTTCACAGTTGGCTCAGTAGAAAAACACAGCGAATGTAAATGTATAATGATGGACTCCCTACAATGACCTATAATGATGGACTCTCTACAATGACGCTATAATGATGGACTCTTTACAATGACATAATATAAAAATGGAATCTCTACAATTACACTATAATGATGGACTCTCTACAATGACGCCATTATGATGGACTCTCTACAATGACTCTATAATGATGGACTCTCTACAATGACTCTATACTGATGGACTCTCTACAATGACGCTATAATGATGGACTCTTTATGATAAACGTGATGACTTTAACTTTTCTATCTACAACTTCCCTTACTTACGCAAGAAAATATACCTTCATTACCTGCATATATCTCAGTGGATTCGATACAAAAGAACATGCATTACGTATGAGCAGTTTCTAAAGCGAGATTAGTTATTGACAGATAAGTTGATGAAACAAGAATATCAAGAGTCTCGTTTAAAGTTATCGTTTCGAAAGTTCTTTGGTCGCTAAAATGGTCAAGTCGGCAAATACAATTTATCAGCGAGTCAAACGCTGAATGACGTTTTTCATACCAACTGTTAGTTTATTTTTTACATACTGATTTTACGACGGATTTTCCCCTTATTTCCCGATCATGACAAGGAGCACACGGCGGGTATGACCAGTCGGCATTGGAAGTCAACTCCTCCATGGCACCTGATCCCACCTCTGATGTTTCGGAGATCCGTGTTTGTTTTGCTCATATTTTGTATTTTTTTTATGGACTTTGATATTAAATACAGTTCTTTATTTTCATATCATTCATTACGTCTTAGGTTTGACGGGGTGTCAAACGAGAATTGAGCCCGGGCCTCCTGATCAAGAAGTGAGCGCCCTACTGTTCCGATGCCGATTTTATTGATTGAAAATATGTTTTGAAGCAATCAGTTTAGCATATTTAGTATTACAATGACATTATATAATGATGGACTCTCTACAATGACACTATAATGATGGACTCTTTACAATGACATTATTTAATGATGGACTCTCTACAATGACTCTTAGCCTGTTCCCCTGTCTCATCCTTAGCAATGTAGGAGATATAGAGTAAACGAAGCATTAATAATGACTCTACAATGATGAACTCTCTACAACGTTCATTCTTTCCAATACAAGACACGCGGAGTGAACGAAGCATTACTGGGACCAGGAACCAGGCTACAATGACGCTATAATAATGGACTCATTAGTCCCTACAATGATGCCTAATGTTTGACTTCCTAATTTGTGATGGACAATCATTATTGAGTATAACTGCTACGGCCCATAACTTGATACTGTTAACCTAATGTCTAAAGGTATGGGCTCTTTATTTTTGCACTAACTGCGTTCATGATCTTATGCAATAGATTTTATATAACTTTCATATTAAACAGAGATTTGGTCATGATTTGGCCATGTGACTAAGCAAGGAAACAAACCCATCCCGTGACTGAAGGATGCTAGAAAGTAACTTCATTCGACTTCAGAAAAAAACATTCACTGTAATAGGCTAGGAATAAAATCCCTCGGCGGCCAAATACAAAGAATACAGAGAAAGAAATTAACTCACCTAAAGCAGGGATAAAATAAATCGGAAAATTAGTCCTTACATGTCAACATTTAACTTTCTTTACTAGAAACGATCGAAATGATACCTTGCCTAAATGTAGCCGATTCGGATAAGTCACGTGACTTGGTCTTTCTGTAAATGTTCCGTCTTCCTGGTCAAAGTTTAACCACGTGATAATGTGAGTAGAATACAGCCACATATCATCATTCCGTATAGACAAAAAACTGGGCATGGGGAATTCTAATCATAATTCACATGCACTCAGAAATTGAATTTGAAATACATGTAATTTTATCACGAATAAAATAATGCGATAATAACACGCTGAGACTTTCAATAAGGAAATAATAAAATGTACAGTATAATTTCTTGTCGCGGCAAAAAACAGGAAATGAAATACTAGATCTGGGATAAAAAAAAAAAAAGTACGTCTGTATGTTGTCGGTTTCCTTCCTCTTGCTTTTTAAAACTCATTCTGCTTTGAGATATGACTTTTATATATATATATCCTCTGACTAAAGAAATTTTATATTTTTGTGCTTTATCTTGTAAATACAAATAAATTGAAATTTTCAACATAATTTTTTCAAGATCAGAATTTCATTGATGAAATTGTATCAAAAGCATTACGAATTGTTAAAATAATGTCATTTATATTACACATCTAAATGAAACTCAACTTCGCTGTATGAATATTTAACACTGTATCCAAAAAAAAGAAAGACTTTCAAATACTCTCTGATAACAGAAACATATTTAAAGATATAAAGATATAAAGCTTGTTTTACTGATGGGCATGGGAACATTATGAAAAGAAAAAAAAATGTATGAAATCAACAGGAACCTTCAGATATCTCGTTTACATACTGTTACGAGGTGCACTATGTCATGCAAGAGGGAGTAGGAGACGAAGGGGTAACATTTTGTTTAGCTCAGAACACCCAGTCCATGCTGTTAACACGTATGAAAAAACGTTTTTTTACGACATTGAGAAAATGGTATCCTATAAAGGTCCATACATTGAATCTAAATGCTATTTTGTAGTAAATATTCTGTGACGTTTCATTCAATTTCATTCACTGATGTAAAGTAGTCGCAGATAAGGGATGGCTACAGTATAATACAGACGCTCCCACTGCTATATACCCTTACTTTTCAAGGGGGGGGGGTAAAATTACAGTCTTGATCGTGGTAGCTAGGTCGATATTGTATGCTGATTTGAAGATCAACGGGACATAAATCTAATTTTTGTTTGTTTCTTTCGATAAAAATGCTGATTTACAAAACAGTTATTTAAAGAAATTTAATCTCCTTTTCAACTGTTACAACGCGAAATGTAATGACGAGAAATATAATAAACCTGAATTATTTGCATCAAAATCAACGAAGAACGCAAAAATGTGACAACACACTTTTGAGGATTATTACATTTTTCGTTATTGCATTTTGCGCCGAACTCAACGCAATATGTAATAACACGAGTTTTGGATTATTATATTTTGCGTTGTTACATCAAGATTAAGCAAAAGGTAAGAAATAACACATTTTTTTCGTAAGCAAGCTAATGATAGAGTAAAGTGTAGCGGCTGATGAAAAGAAAATAAAACAAAACGAAAAAAATAGATATAGAGTAAAGTGCAGTGGCCGATGAAAAGAAAATATAACAAAATGAAAACAAGAGGCCCGCGGGCATTATATGTCACCTGAGTATCATGTAACAACTCTCCAGCAATTGAACTTATGTCGTGTTTAATCTAAAAGCAATGAAATTTACAATTTTGACATAGGCTTAAAATAATTAAATACTTACCAGGCTTACTTTGGTTACTAAATACCAAGATGTATATCAGAGTAATAAAGAAAATGCATTTCCCACATTATAACCACCAGTTTTGCATCCCACCCCCACAGGAACCACTGACCCTGTGGCCACATATTTAGAAATTTTATTTTATCATACTTAGAATGGTTGATTAATACCAAAGAGCAGATTTTAGGGCAAACAGTAACTTATTTTCAGACAAAGTACACCCCCCGTACTTCTGACCAAGGAGCCCTGAATTTATCCATTTTAAAAAGACAACTTTCTTCATTATAAATATGTAATTAGATCAATGGCATATGAAACAAGAGCAAAGGAAAAGATTTTCAAAGAATTCATGTATTTCACCATATAATTAATAGAGTCTTGCCCTAACACTAGAATTCCTGGCTCTAGGGCCATGAAATTCCCGATTTTGGTAGAGGCAGTCTTATTAAACATAACTATGTACTTGGTTTGTTTATTTAATGCCCAGGAGCAGAGAAGATTGTCAAATAATTTATGCAATTTCACTATATTGTAGCCAAGTGACAAGACTCTTAAAAGGTTCACCACTTTATTGTAACGTGTTAAACCAAAAGGCAGCAGTGATGTCTGCAAAGAACAAAGTACAACAATAAACAAAAGTTATAAAGTATGTACAAAGTGCATATACTGAATGATGGTTCATGTTGTAACGTTTTTACAAAGTACAAATGAATAATAATTAATTGAGTTCGCTTAGGATTCCTTCCTAAGTATCATATTTATAATATGAACCAAACAAACTTCAACAACAACGGCACAATAACAAGAAACTGACTGAAATTCCCTATAAATATATTTTCCTTGGTCCTATCTGGATAATGATAAGTAAGCGAAATGAAAACGAACTGTAACAAAAGAATCACCAATAATTTATCAAACCAATGATCAAATATAAAACCTATCTCTGTAGCTGCAGACTGAGTGGTATAACGAACAGTTCTGTTGTTTCCCGACACAGTCTACAACTACCTAAAACACACCCTATAAAAATCACAAAGTCACAGATACATCTAAGACACATAAACACAAGCTAAAGTCACCAAAACACCATAGCTATCAACAGGACACGACTTTTGGTTAGACACACGCTAAGGTCACAAATATACCATAGCTAGTCAGAAAGACACTCACTAGGGAACCGGGTCCCTGGGCTGAGTGGTCTAAATAACAATTCTGTTGTTTCCCGACAAAGCCCAGTTACCCTTCCCAAGTCACCTAACTCTGACAAAGAGTTACACCAAAAGTAAATGAAACAAGATTGATCCCTGTATTTATACTATTTTTCCTATGCCTAATGACTACTGATTGGTTAATAATTTCTAATGATTGGTTGATGAATCTGGAACTCTGATTGGTTATAATATCAAGCGCTGATTGGTCAAATATAAAATGATTCGATTGGTCTATATCAAAGGCATTTCAATCCACTTAACTAATTCTGATTCATTACAATGTTATCCTTTATAAACTTAGTAGTTCATTTAAATAACTATCAAACTACTTCACACTAAAGTCACATACAAGCATATATAGTGAGACCTACACTAAATATAACACATGGTACTATTATGTACTCACGGTAAAGTGTAAACACTAATATGATTAAACTGGTCAACTTAATATGACACAGATACTGACTTTTAAAATAAACAACTGCCCTAATACCTAGCATGACTCTAAATAAAGAATAATATACATAGCCGTTACCAAATAACAGACTTCTACATGTATACAGTCAAGAAAAGTAATAGACTTAACCATCAACATCTATACCATCAAACTGATATATAAAACATCAGGGTCACAAGTCAACGTTTACAAAGACAAGTTAAATATTCCCTTATTATTATGAACAAAAATGACATTAAAATATATAAAAATCATTGAACATTTGCTACATCATGAAATCTTATTCATACAATCTATTCTTCATGTTTAATTTACCTTGAATCACTCTTCAATGCATACAAATGAAAACAACTTATCGGTAAACAAACAAACAGGAAACATCTATCACTTACTAAAAGTAAAACCTAGACCTAGTTCCGAACTGAGTAATCCGTAATTCCGAAATACAACATACAAATTTCTCTCAGTTACGTTTATTACATTAAAACTAGAAATAAAGTTGCAACAACCTTGTTATTATGCATAACTATGATACAGAAGCATATGACATTATTACCTACTTAATAATTCTATCAATTCTATCGATAAGCATGATCTCCTAAACTGGCGCACATGTAGCGTCTGGCGGGAAATAAGTTCACCAAATACACAACTCATGTACAAATCATGAAATTCTAAGAAATGCATAATTATAATGATTTACATAAATGCACACCAGGTAAAAATTAGCAAAAATACATAATACACAACTGGATACTGTAGTGTATCAAAAATACTATAGCAAAAACTAGTCTGCGTTTCACATGAAGTTATGCCTCTGCTGTAGTGTGATAAGTTATGACGTCAGCCTCGGCTCCGAAAAATACTAAAAGAAGGATATGGAAATAACGAACAGTATTCAATCTCAACGTCCATTAAACAAATATACAAATTAAGAGCAGAGCAAAAACGGACCTCCGAAACATCAGAGGTGGGATCAGGTGCCATGGAGGAGTGAGCATCCCCTGCCGACCGGTCACACCCGCCGTGTGCTCGTTGTCATAATCAGGAAATAACGGAAAAAATCCGTGGTCAATTCAGTGTATAAATAATGGACTAACAATCGGTATGAAAAACGTCAGTCAGCATTTCATTCAATGATAAATTGTATTTGCTGACAAGGTCATTATATCAACCATAGAATTTACGAAATGATGACTTTAAACGAGACTGTTGATATTCTTGTTTCATCAACTCGAGTACATGTACTACGGCGAAGTCTTAAAGGTGAAGATACAGACGCACCCCCTACAGGTGAAGATACAGACACACCAGAATCATCCAACATAAGATATTCATCGTCACTAGAACCATCACTATCGACACAATCACTCACCATGTTTTTAGAGTTCTTTCTTTCAGAATGGTCTCTGTTCACTTGTGTCACAGTATCTACTTTCGCTTTAATTCTAGGGTGTACTCGATTCACAATCCGTCTGTCATCAGGAAAGTCTTTACGGTATACTTCATACACATGATTCTCCAGGTCAATATGCCTTAACACAACATACTCATGTTCGCTCCATGTATCCTGAATTTTGTTCCTGCCGGTCACACGATTACGAAGTAACACTACGGTTCCTAGTTCGAGTCC